TGTTTGTGTGTGTGTGTGTGTGTGCGTGTGTCTGTCTGTGTGTGTGTGTGTGTGTCTGTTTGTGTGTGTGTGCGTGATGAGAGAAAAAAATGTGTGTGCAGTCCTAACACAACATGCAAGAACATCCAGAGGTTCAGAGGTCAAAGGTCAGATACAGCTCATACACCTGGACGGGAGTGGTTAATGTAACTTGAGAGTGAGGTGGTTTTACGCCTCACAGGTAAAGGTGAAGACACGACGGCTTCAGGAACATGGCCGCTCTCCTGAACACGTCCGCAGAGGAAACTTGGATCTTTAAGGGCGATCGTGGCTCAAGAGTTGGGAGTTCGCCTTGTACTTGGAAGGTTGCCGGTTCGAGCCCCGGCTCGGACAGCCTTGGTCGTTGTGTCCTTGGGCGAAACCTTGTGTAAAGCGCTATACAAATACAGGCCATTTACCATTTTAAGCTCGAAGTAGTTTGTGTTAACGAGCTGTGTGCTACAGAAGCTGACCTCTGCTGAGTCTCATCCTCCAACACAAACGTGCGCAGCTGGATGTCTGAGCGGTCGTTCCTACTTCTACACCTGCGTGACGTGGATGGACGAAGCCGCTCGCTCGGCATCTGACGGTGATGTTGGCGTCGCTGGGACCCGAGCGTACTCGCATATGTGGAAAGTGAAATCTCTGCTTTACAGTTTTCCCGCTTATTTCTTTTTTCGATAAATTAGACGGATGAAGCTCCACGTGAAGAGGAAGATGAATGACAGTGAAACCCTGAGCAGGTCAGCGGCGCCCTGCTGGATGTCGGGGGACGAACACGGGAAAAGATTTCACGAAGACTGCAGTGATTTCACCGAGAGCCGACTTTGTTTGGCTAACCTGAGACTGATCAGTGCAGCGGGAGAGTGTTTCAGGCTGAGGATGTTTATCCTGCACTGAGTCCAGCTCACTGAAACCAGCTGCTGTGACATTTAGCATCTGTCACCCATGAGGGAGAGTGTCCCTAACCGACCAATCAGCACGCAGTATCGGCTTCGCTGTGAGAAAATCTGAAGGACGTTTGTGCGGTTTTCTTTCAGGTCATCGATGTGCCTCATAGATAAAATGGTTTTATCTGGAAGCAGCGCCTTCATTAATTTTAATAATAATAATATTACTGGAATAGTGACAGTTTCTTTCTTTCTGTGTAAACAGTGCTATAAGGACTCGACTCCTTTCTGGAAGAAGTTCTTTTATCCTTTTCACTCCCTCCCTGTGATTCATTACAGTTTTTGGAAGAAAAGGATTTTGACAGGAAGTGGACGTGCCAGCGGATCAGCTCCAGCAGGATGTTCAGAAAGAAACTGTGTCAGAATATCTGTGGCTGTGATTGGTCCTCGTGGCTTGGAGTGACCCGTCCAGCGTCTCCTTGACTGCTTGGACTCTGCTACAGCAGCTTTGCATGATTCAGAGTTCAAAATAATCCTTCTTTGTCTCACTTTGGATCTCAGCAGCTGCTCAGTCTGAAACAAGCTGTTTTAGCCCCGCCCCTTCTAAGGCCATCATGAGATATCGAAGCTCAACAGCAGGTCTCTTCTGATAGAAACGCTGCTGACTGTCCTGTGAATGTGACCCACTGTGGACCCACTGTGGACCCACTGTGGACCCACTGTGGACCCACTGTATGTAAATGACATCCCTCTGGTGACGTATGGTTGGCTGTCCAGGTCTTTATCAGGAACAAAGCCCCCCTTCACATTTTCCTAAACTCGGTCTGTGCCGGGCCAACTGCAGGTCCCGGGCCTTATGTTGGACACCCCTGCTTTGTGCCAGCTGTCTGCTGACGGTCACGCGGCCACATTAAGAGCGTCGTGCAGGTGTTTGGCTCACAGAGGTCACTGCTGCGTAAACTGGTGACCTTCGATCTGATCCTCAGAGCTCTCACCAGCACTTCTCATGAGCCTTTAAAATCATGTCACATGTTGTACACACGCACGCACACACACACGCACACACACGCACGCACGCACACGCACGCAC